TGAACGGCCGTGCGATAGAAATCTGACGCAGCGCTCTTGTACGGATAGCGTCGAGCTTATTTCTGCTATCTACAGGGTGGTCCAAAATTATGAGGACCGCATATGCGCGCAGTTATATCCACTTTTTTCCGTATCGCTCCATTTTCATCTCGTTTTCTGTGCACTATGTGAAAGAGTACATTGTCTTCTTCCTAATGAAACCAAGTTTCATGAAGTTCTCAAAACTAGTGAAATAACTACTTCACTTTAAGTCAGTCCTCAAATTGAACTCACTAGGGGCTCTGGCACGTTATATCTAGCAGTAGTATAACCTATCAGTGAAGCCCAAATGAGCAGCCTTTCAACTCTTTAATAAGTTCGAAACCACCACAGATGGGAAATTCGGGTACTGGAAACTTACAGTTAGCCCCAGGATAATTATAAGATGCAGAAACTAGGTCTCCCCTTGTCAACTTTCGTACTCCCAAAATGAAAAAATTGATGTGAAAACCCAGCCAGACACTCTAAAGACTCCACATCTGTAGTGGATAGAAAGCCACACGAGTAGTCTACTTAGACTTCTTACAGGACCGAGCACCCAAGAATAAAGCAAAAATTCTCTAAAAAGCGATTTTTCGAGTTCGTTGCTTTCGAAGAATTGTTACAATGGAACCTTCCACCTGATAGCTCTAGATTTCTGTATTTCACACCCTGGATGCAAGCGCAAATAAATGCAACACAAAAGTTTGATTCCCTGAAGAAGCAAAGAGCAGGCCTGGAAACATTTAGACACGCCTCAGTTGCGTGCCAGCGCACGCGCCATCCATCTTCATCTGAAGGCTCGTGTAAACGCGGCAGGTGGCAGATCTCAATTCTATTCTGGAATTACTTTGAGGTAAGAGTTACAAATACTTCCCTGAAGTTGGTTTGTTCCATCAAGCTACTATGCGTTTTTAACGACACAATGTCTTGGTCCTCATAATTTTGGACCACCCTGTACATTCGGCGAGAGCCCATGGTTGCTCCATGACCCAGCCGACGCACAGCGATGTGGGATCTCGTCTAGCGCCAAAGGCCAGATATAGGCCAAGTAAGAGCTCCTCCGCAGTTCTTGGGTTGTTCCTTTTTCCACTGATGGAATATTTATTATCTCAACTTCCATTTTTGGACATCAAGTTTCCGATCAGCTAGTGCCCTTTAGATTAGTTAGTGTCAATTTTTAGATCCTAGCCTCGCCGCGCTACCCTTTGAGCTCAAGTGGCCTAATGCTTAGTTTGCTATCGTCAGTTGTTAAATCATATTACGTGATAAATTTGATTGTCAAAAAAAAGTTTTATTGAAATAAGGGTTAAAAAAAAATCGCAAACCTTTGGCATATTCCAATCTTCGCCATCTATTTTATTTTCGTACATTTCCTGCATACCGTAGTAACGATTCATAAATCTCGCTTTTTCCCACATAAAGCGTGTGTCCTCAGTCAAATTGTGAACATTGACCCAGATCTGAAGTCAGAAAAAAGTGTGAATGGTTTCGGTATAGGATACGAATGAATTAGATCTGACCTCGGTTAGGCCTTCATGAAGTCCTCGCATTTCCGGTGAAACCAATACCAACTCGAATTTCACATTTCGTTTCAATTCGACAGCCATCGCATTGGCCCGATAGACTAATGGCATCATCGAGATTAACTCTTCTTCGAGAATCATGTCAGCTGAAATTAGGATCTCTACTCTCCTATAGGCGTTGAACCTTTTCACGTGGTTGTTGGTACCACGGTAGCTCTAGTTGTCCATGCGTTTCCTGGTCATGGGACGCGTGCGGTCGCGGTGCTGCCGACTTCTTACTGTGCGGTTTTCTGGTTCACAAAGTAGAAGTATTGACGTGATAGTGCGAAATTTTTGTTCATACCATCTGTGGCTACCCTGTTTCAAGTGACATTCAGTCGCGTCGCGACCGCGCGCGTCGTATTTCAGACTCTAGCAGGCGCTGCAAAATGCACTTGTGATCCTTTGGGTGAAACTGTAGGGAGTTCAGTTTTGTGACAGCAATACGTTCAGACCGTTTGTGAGCGAAGGAGATGAAGGAGATCAAACGAACTCAAGGAAGGTGGGACACAGTCAGGTGTGTGATAGACAAAAAACGTGGAGATCGTTAGGATTTATTCAGTCTGATGCCCAGACGCAGCGTTTCGGATGTTCGTTTCATTTCGCTGACCCTCCACGGGTGCGTCGTTAGACCCCGTCGCGCTAACTTGCTACTCGCCGCAAAAAAAACTATTTGAATCGAAACTACGGCGCGATTTCGATGCTCGATGGAACTTAAGGGCACCGAGTTGCGATGGAACGGAGGGGCGGAGGCTCAGTCTGACCGTAAATGCGCCGTTCATGGTGAAGCGCTAGCAAAGTGATTGCAGGTCTTACGCAAGGTGCAGCCAACTGCGTCATCAAACCACTCCATCTCTCAACCATGAAAGCCATTGCCTTTGGCAAAGGCACCCTCGAAGTTTGTAGTACGGAAATACCTTTGCTTTTGCCATCCTCGTTCGAGATTTTGATACCGGCTCCTTGAGCGAGTTCCTTCTGCGCTTCTTCATAGGTGATATCTTTCCGAGCTCCACCCTTTGTTGGATTGTTGAATACGTAGAGGTGATTTCCGCCGAAAAGCACTCTGAAAACACGTCCTTACTCGGACACTCGACGAACTCACTGATTTTGAGTGATCTTGATCTTCGAAGGCGTCAACCAGGGAAGGCATTCAACTTCCCATGGAACTTTGAGATGAGACCCAGATATATCGATAGAGCTTCAAACGCTGATTACAAATATGGAAACTAAAACTGCAAAATGAACCTGCCAAGGAAGTTGTGAGCAGTCAAAGTTGGCTAAAGTAAAGCGTTGACATTAGTCTTTGGGTATGTCTGCCGGGCTTTTCAAAAGTCGCGCGAGTTAGTGGAATCGTGCGCTCGTCTCTAACCGGGAGATTATATGTTTAATTCCCATTGGTGTGCAAATTTCGAGAGAACTACTACTACTCCACGGCGACTTTGAAAGCCCGGAGACTAGTGTGATACGCACGCTTACTTCAGCCAACTTTGACTGCTCACAACTTCCTTGGCAGGTTCATTTTGCAGTTTTAGTTTCCATATTTGTAATCAGCGTTTGAAGCTCTATCGATATATCTGGGTCTCATCTCAAAGTTCCATGGGAAGTTGAATGCCTTCCCTGGTAAGTATTTTCCCCTCTGGTGGGAGATTTCGGAGGATAAAAACGCTTTGTTGCACTATATTGGCTGCATCCGCATTTTATTACATTGTCTGCGATTGCCAATTTTGTCAAATAACTATCCCCGGAGGAATGAAACGCTCCGGTTATCCTGAGCGATCAGCAGGCAGATTCGATTCTCCACGCATGGGCGTGGTAAAACGGGCGACACTGTCACACAGCGATCCCCCCCGCGTAAACGTCGTAAACAGGTGTTCTTCTTGCCTATTCTTGTACTGCATTTTTGTACCAGTTCCTTTCGTATTGCGTCGAATCGACTTGCGTTGATAAGGATTCCGCTTCTGGACACAGAACAAATGTTAAAATCAATGACATTCGTGCGCAGAATTGCTACCTCTGGAACATGGTGAAAGCGACCAGAGCAAATTTGATAAGTTCGCCACGTTTTCAAAAAATTGATGGAGAAAAGCTAGGTATTTGAGGGGCATTTAAAAGTGGGCATAGTGTGGACTATAAAACTAATTCAAAGCTTCTTTATGGCAGAGTAGGAATAGTGTAACCTCGCCAGGCCGATGTCAGACTTTGCGAATCGCGCGATTCGCTAGCGTCTGCGGTCGCGTCGCGGCCAGTGAATCACTCAATTGGCTGGTACCGCAACGCGACCGCGGACGCTAGCGAATCGCGCGATTCGCAAAGTCTGACATCGGCCTAGATTTTTCTCTAATTATTCATGTGCAGTAGGAAACAAGTATGCATAGAAAGACAGCTGTTTCACAAGAATGCTGGGTTGTGAACAAAACTTTCGCCCCAGGCGGGACTAGAACCCGCACCTCTCGCTTTCCGGGCAAGTGCGCTACCAGTTACGCTACCGGGGCACCATTTCATTCCAACAAACAAAAACAGCTGAATCACTTACACATTAGTAGAACGATAGATAACGGCTTACCCCGCAAGGTGTGATTGTCACTTTCTTATTCTTCGAATTAACTACAACGGCGTGTTGTGGTAGTATTGAGAGGCCGTTTAGTTGCACCATTGGAGCCGGTACGGCTGTCTTGTTTCCTTGAAAATACAATTTCAACAATGGAAAATATTATCAAAGGCAAATCGTGAGACAACTGAAGTTCCAAGAATGGAAAATAACATGGGAATTGAAGGGCTCGAAAACGCTATTCTATTTTTTTTAGTCAATTGACGATTTAGTTTTTCTTCTTCTTCTTCATTTATCCTTTCGATATGTTTTTCACTGCGTGCATTCTTGATCAGGAGGGGTGCCAACTGGCTTTAAGTCCATTCAGTGTGTCATGCCGCTTCGGGCGTCCTTTAGGCTACCTCTTGCGAAGGTTGAGCTCAGTGTGACTTATGTGACAGACACTTACCATTTGTACGACAGTAACATGACATCATAGAAGACGAGTCATGTCAAACGGAATTGATTTCGGCAACCACAAGTCAAGAAAGGCAGGATGCACCTGCTCTCGTCCGTTTATTGCCTTGTTTTCTTTGCAAAGACGACTGTCATGTTTTACGTCCACGGGCTATACGGGTTTCGAATCGCTTGGGGGTGTACGTTTTCGTGAATACGGTCGTTTAATTCTTTTTGGTCCATTACTTCATGCTTACGCAGAGCCGGTTGAGCGAGTTGCCACGATAGCTTTGTTTTCGTTTAGGCTGGTCTCTTCCGAATCGCATCATCGTCGTCAAACTCTCAGGTATCTTCCTTGCAAAAGCATACCTTGTCATCTGCTCCGCAGTACCATCGCTGTGATTTTGTTAGCCTGTCCAGTCATTCATGAGCCGCCCTCAATGTGAAGAGCGAGTTTGGAGCGACATGGATTATCGCTACGGTAGCATCATTCTTGAGCGCTTCCACTTCTTCCACAGCTTCTTTTAGCGAGGCCGTATATCGAAGTATCGAAGATTATGGTGATTCTACTGTCGACATTTTCTGGATTATACGTTGCCACGCTTCATAACCAGTCGCTTTTTGGACATCGTTAGTACTGTGGTGTGACATGGGTGTCGTTTCCGAGCAGATTCCCGCAGGGCCAAACTTTCGTGGGTAAATCCTAGGAGAAAGTCGAATCTGGATTCGGGGAAAGGCCCTACTTGGTAGAGGCGGAGTTATTCTATAGGAACATAGAAAGCTTGATGAGTTGCAGAATCTAGGCGGTCAGTTTCAAAGCCATTTTGCTAATCATTTGTGTACCGCCTAATTTCTGCAAACTACTTTAAGAACTTTTCATTTCGAACAAAATCCCAGCATATAGAGGACGAGTTTGCACTATAGTCTATTGCACTATATTGAAGCATTATATATTGAACTTTACCGATTGTCACTTCTCCAGGTGGCAGGAAATGAACGATAACGTCAGTCAAAGCTGGATCCTCGTTAAGGTTCCACAAATGTGGTATTTCTTTGCGCTGTTTCTGAATCGCCAGACGCTCGCGATGGGTCTTGAGCTGAATATTGTTAAGATTACTTCAAGGCTCATGGAATGAAATGTCTGGGTCTTTCATGAGTTGTGGGAAAATAATTACCTTGATTTCTATGATGCGAATTCTATTACTGGACCTTTCCCAAGCAACATTGTGCTATATACGGCTAAACAAAACAACATGTATTGCTTTGAGCAAAGCTTGACTTAGTTAGGCTACGACGCATAATACATGCTTAGCACTTTACAATCACCTGCGATCATATGGACGTCCTTTCTCCCGAACTTAATCAAGGCAGTCCTTTGATCTGTCGAGGGCCGATGGCGCTTTAACACTTTGGGACCGCGCGTGTTTACCGTTCGCCGCCGCGGCGCGGACTTCGCGGGTTTAATTTTTCAGGCGTTCTTTATCTTAGCACTGAAGAAGTAATCACTACCTGCAATTAATGCGGAAGGAACTTCTAGGAGATACAATGTAGAATGAAAAATGATCGGAAAACCTCAAGTAACTCCTTAACGAAGCCGAAGCTTCAGCCGCAAAGGCCTATGCAGCGTCGGAGGACTGCAGCCACATATGGCTGCGTGGGCTCCAAGGTGAAAGCTAGCATACTTGCACCACTGTTGAAAATTAACACATTGACGACCGCGCGCGTTTTGGCTTTTTTGGCCGTGTGGGACCGGGCCGATTTTGCGAGTGCGACCGCCGCACCTCGGATCCGTGAATTTTTATTGATAACTTTTTAAAGCACCAGTGGTACAAAAACATCTCAGTAACAGTCAATGCGTAGAAGGTAATAGAGTATATAGTGACGAAGTTCCGATTAAAGAACATGTAATGGTAATGAAAAAGGAAATTTTAGTCATTTTATCTGTAGTGGATGCCAAAAGCTCTTTTGATGTGGTTATACCAAGTGAAAGCATGTATTTTTCTGTCTCTTTAGATTTGCATTTACTTTCACTACCCTTTTTTATTGACGTGTTCATGAGAATAGCATGAAAACTATTAATGAACCAAGCCGCCGGTTTCGGTGAGCTTGGAAAACTTCTTCTAAACTGGAGCATATTTGAACAAACAATGACCTATGTCGTTCACAATAATGTTATGTTCTAATCCATAGAAGAGAGACAAACAATTCGGGAAAAAGCTGCGCATGCCCTAGAAAAAGGGATGATAAGGGTGAGACGCGGTAACGCGTCTCAATGTCCAACGAGGTGCGCAAAGTGAGACGCGTTACCGCGTCTCAATGTCGTCAATGTGTTAAAGGCGAAATCCCAAGCCCACCCCTAGAGGAGTCACAGAGATGTTCAAACGAGACGGCATTAAAACCGCACAGCCTATGAGTGAAGCTAGACGTGTACACTGATTCCTGAATAGGGATTCCCATCTTCGCTCTGCCATTGTCGGGGGCTGTAGAAATGATCTGCTCACCTTAGCGGCTTCCTCAAGCAGACTTTACTTGCCATGTTCTTCTCCAATCGGCATCCTCTTTCTGGAACAAGAACAGAATAACTTCCTCGGGGTGCGAAAACACGCAAAAAAGCATCAAATCAGCCCGCGTTTTGTTTCAACGTTGACGTCGGAAGAGATCTCAGAACTTCCTCCTAACATGAATTCGACTTATTTTCACAAATATATAGGAGTTTTTTTTTTGACACTGGACTTCCGAAGGTAAGATTCAAATTGGGCTCCATTGCTAATTCAGGAAGACTTTCACCTCATTGCTCTTACGTAAGGTGGATAGTTTTTCAAGGAGAGTTCACCTGAGTGAGGGAGGAGAGGGGAGAATTGGCAGAGAGAGCAGGGACAACTTGAAAGCGTTCAGCGAACTCCGCTGGTTCCACACCACTCCTTTAAGTTCCTCTGACTAGACAGAGTCGTTATTCTTCTCATCAAACGCAGACAGCAGCGCAAGAGCGTCGTCTGATTTTCGTTCACCACCGCGTTCGTCTTAATTGCTTTTGCTCGATCGGCAAACCTGCGAAGGTGAAAACTTTCATGGATTCCTCTGCATGAATTTCGTATAGCATACATTATACGATGGTTATGCTAGTTTATTTTTACCAGATTAGTCCCCCGTCAACCGCCGGGACCTTCCTTTCCTGCGCAAGCTTTCTATCCTCCGCTATGGTCCCTTCCTCCTGTGACACCAACACCTCGTGGAAGTGACGCGTATGCAACACAATGGTGTTTCATACAGTAGAAGGGACACAATCATGATATGACGGTAGATTTTTCGCTTCCCTTCCTCATCCTCCCTTCCTCTCTCCACTGCCCTCCAGCTGCCACTGCAGCACCATGTGGAATGAACGGAAGTGTGCTAAGCAGGTGTTTATATAGCCCTAAGAGTGTTATCACAACTATCCTGCTACAAAACATTGATATCTCAAATCCTGTAAGCTACCCGATTTGTTAGCGGTTTGTTTATCCCATGAGCTTCCTTCTCACTCACTTCATTTTGCGGACGGACATACATACATACACACACACACACATACAGATACACAAACCGACACACAAAGTTAGCGCTTTATAAAATAGAAGGATTTTTAGTCTTTCATTAATTATGTCCTATTCAGTTCTTGG